TCCAAGACTTGATATTCTGTACTCCACAGCTAGATATCAGGCAATATGGACTATCTATACAAATTATAGGATTGTCAAGGCACCTAATATTGTGAGACAAACTCAGTATGAGATGTGTAATAGCCCCCATAAGAAGTAGGAAGATGGCACAGTTTTGCAGTAATCACACACAAGCTTTCACTGCATGGTGCTGAACTCTTGTGAAATTTGTGTCTCAGAGGTGTGAAATTTTGTCTGCTGTTAAGGTTATCATCATTGTTGATATCTGAAAACATAAACAAAGTAGTAGAACAAATGATACCGGCAAACTTCAATTCAGTCCATATATTGCTGGTTTAAATTCTACCACCCATGGTGTATAAAATCCTTTTTTTTTCCTCTCTGGAAATGTATCAATTCGTTGATAAATTGAAAAAGCATAAAATCTTGTTTTTGGTGAAATACCCTTAGGTGTAGATAGATGATCTAAAGCATTTGGATCAGTTTGTGACTACTTAGTGCTCTGGGATGCTACTCTGCAGGAGGGGCATTATATAAATGTGTTGTTGTTGAGCCACAATTTATTTGACCTACTGGATCTGAGGAGTAGCACTGCAATATAACCCCTTAAAATTCTCCATGTTTTACATTGTACTCTGTACTACATCAGGCTGACACCATGTTGACTTATTTCCCAATAATAGTGAACATTTATATATCTTCCAATGTGAACAAAATTGATGTACAATGGGGTACATAATTGAGTCTGCCATTGACTCTTTCAAAGTGGTACAAATCAATCTGTGAAAAATGAATATGTATAGAGCTCTAATTTGTTGATTACTTCATACAATTCTGTGCATATCATATGTGAGTTTACTATTCAGCAATTGTGCAAGGATTGATAATACATTCTTTTGAATAATTTGCATCCCATCCTACTTTTAAGACAAAAATATAAATGCTTTAAAACAGTTCAATGTGATGTGGTGACATAGTTCACTTCCTATTATTGATAAAGAAGTCTACATCTCTACTCAGGTGTATACTAGCATGAATTTATTTAGTAGAACTGAGTATTTTTCAATTGAGCTATAAACGTCCTTTAAGTTTTGATGCACTGATAACACTATTATCTGTAACCTCTTTTCAATAAAAAGGAAGAACAGGGTACTGGGAGGCAGCCTTTAATCGGCAATTCGCATTTTACAATAAATGTTATAACTATGTTTTTTAAAGAAGAGCATATAGATATCACTCAGAAGAATATATGCAAATTTCTGAGATTCTTCCAATTGAAATAAACAACAACTTGGATTTATATAGTGCCCTCCACTTCACGCTGTACCTGCATGTTTACATGAGAGCAGCAATTATAGCAGAAGATTAATGAATCCATATTCAGAAAAAAGTGATGCAGTCAAGATTGAGCTTCTATTGCTTTTAGTGAAACTATTATTTAAAATAGTAAATAAAGTAAATTAAACAATTCCACAACTCTTTGAGTATTTCACTCAATTTCACTTCCAAGTTCACTACTAATGGGTCTAATTCTAGTTTTTAGAGTATGCCCCTCTTGTCTTGGATTCTTTATTACAGGAACCAAGTCTCTCCTTATCCACTCTATCAATTCCCTTTACTGTCTCAAACACCTTGATCAGATCACTCCTCAGTCTCTCCATTCAAGGAAGTACTGCCCCAGTTTGCTCATTTTGCCTTCATAAAGAGCTCCTTCAACTAAGCTATCATTATGTAAATCTACCTGCATATCCTTCAAGGGCAGTATTGTTGAATACTCTGATGAGAATTGGAAAGTGCAGCATTTGAACACCCACCCCCCCCCCATGGAGTATTAGGTAATGGTACAATTAACTACACAAACCAAAATATTGCAGGTTCTAATCCTCGCTCCCTCCCTTCCCTCCCCTCACCCTGACCATTTCCCCCCTGCTCGGGTCCTGACCCAACTGTCCAGCGCCTTGGGACGTCCTCCCAACGTGAAAGGCGCTCTATAAATGGAATCTTGTTGTTGTTGTTGTATACCCTCTCTCTGCATCACCATCTCCAGTAGAGGTCACAAAAGTTGAATCCTGCAGTAGTTTTCAGGCCAGTAATAGTGCAGTACTCACAGCTGACTCTGGAGTCACATCATCAATGATGAGGTACTGCAGCTCTAGCATTGGCCTCATAGACAGACCCTTCCCATATACTGATCCTCAATCACACTCAGTCAGTTAGGACCTCCTCACATAATGATCCTCAATCACATTCGGTAAGAAAGTATCTCCTCATATACTGATCTTCAGTTGTACAATTTATTCCTTGGCTCAATAATAAATAACTCAATCATTCCCTCCTCGCGCATAGCAGGCAGTTCATCATCCATGGCGACATTTTCAACAGCTATATTGTAGGTAGTATAAAACATTAGTCCTGTTTGATGATGACACACACAATCTTTCGAGTCACCCTCAAAAAGTAACGATAATATTAACACCAAACACAAACAGCCCTTCGTTAATTCTGTGATTTTTCATCAACACAATTTGTACTACTGTCTACTTGATCCACGGACTAAAGGCATTTGAAAGAGAGGACAAAGATCTTCATTTTGATACAAAGAGCGAGGATGGGGGTTCCAGGAATCCCTGTATAATAATAATAATAATAATAATAATCCTTGCATTTGATATAGCGCTTTTCACGTCGGGAGGACGTCCCAAAGCGCTTCACAGAACACACTGTAAAGTGAATTGACTGTATATTTGTGGGCGAACGCGGCAGCCGATGGCGCACAGCAATGTCCCACAAACAGTCGTAGATTGAAAATGACCAATTTTTATTATTGTTTTTGGTTTTGGAGCGATTATTATTAGGCTCTGTGTGGAGTAAGGAAACTTGCCTGGAATTGAACTCAGGTCCCTCACTTGCAAAGCGAGTGCTCTAACCACTGAGCCACAGGTCTCACCGTGGAATAGCCAGAGGCCAGTGCGGGTGCGCCTCTCCCACCACCTTCAGCTAATGGCAGATATTTGAATTGCATTTCCACACTTTTAACATTGTTATTGTTGTTTTAAACATAAAACACTCACCCCAGTCTGAGGCCATCCCTGGAGCCGCCAGAACCATCCACATGGAGCCCTCACTCACATCTCAGTGACGTTCGCCTCTTCTGGAACCGCTGCCCAAACCCCTCCTTTATACAAAGCCATTTGAAAAGTGTCAGTTACCGGAGACACCGAGAGATCCCCTCTCCAAACCACTGCTGCCGATTGACCATCTGCTGTCGGGAGCCAAAGGGACCACATGCGCCCCCAAGTACAGGGCAACACAATCCCCCCCAAAGGTAAGTCCAGTGGTGATCACCTTCTCTGTGCATTGCAGATATTGCCAAATATCTCAAAAAATCTGAAAACGATTCCAAATACGAGGACACAATACACGGAAATAGCTGATCTCGACCACAGAACTTTCCTCCACAATCCTCTTCCCCACCTCAGCAGTGTCAGGTCACCACGAACCCCCCCCCCCCCCCCTTGTTGTGGACAGTGCACAAGCTTTTCTGTGGTGACTTGGACGCAGTGGTTGTGTTTCCCTTTTGCAGCTGATGTTTGAAGCCAAGTTCCTCACCACAAAAAAAGGCTGATTCCATCTGTTGGCTTCATGTCCAGGTTCCCCTCCAGTAAACAGCAGCTTCACTTTCCTGAACATCACTTGGGTCTCTTTTCAAACCACTGGTCCCATAATAGCGTGTGGCATTCCCTCGCCTTGCCTTGCCATGCCTTGCCATGCCATGCCATGCCTTGCCATGCCTTGCCATGCCATGCCTTGCCATGCCTTGCCTTGCCTTGCCATGCCATGCCTTGCCTTGCCATGCCTTGCCTTGCCATGCCTTGCCTTGCCATGCCATGCCTTGCCTTGCCATGCCTTGCCTTGCCATGCCATGCCATGCCTTGCCTTGCCAAGCCTTGCCATGCCTTGCCATGCCTTGCTGTACTGTGTTATGCTGTACACCAGGAGGGAATTCCACGAGTTATTCCCCACTCACAGTTGGGATTGACTGCCCCTTCTGACCTGCCATTGCTGAGGTGGAGCAGAGCGACGTGAAGGCAATGGGGACGTGGGCGACAGCAGTTATTTCCTTGTATTATTCGTTTGGACTCGGGATGAGATGTTGTCGGGTATTCGGCAGTGTTCAGCTATATATGAGGTTAATTCTGGATCCCCATCTTGTACATTAAAGCTGCTGCCGGCGGGTTATATACACATATATATATATATATATCTCCAGTTCCCGCCCTCGCACAGACGGGCAGTTACAGGTTACAGTTACAAACGGTCGATCTTCAGAACTACATCAGGTTGAGCAGAGCTGAGATGTTTTGATTCGAGCCGCTGTGTTCCTGAGCCGCGTCCACACAGCAGATACTCCGCCAATAATTGCCATCACAACCTTTCTGGTGACTTGTGTCTGTCTGTTCGTTGAGTTCACTGTCTCTGAGGCGGAATTCCTGATTAAAGCCCATTCCTGAACAGGGCTGTTTTGGAAGGAACATCCTACACTGGAACACCTTCCCCACCAGGTTATACTTGTACACACGTTACAGACATGGAAACGTGAGATACACTGCACAGTATTGCAAATATAGTAGACATTTAAAAAACCGACCTGGACCTCGTGGTGAACTGCTGATAACACTTAAAACATAATAATAATAATTGCATTTGATATAGCGCCTTATTATGTCATTGAGACATCTCAAAGTGCTTCACAGAATATATTGTAATTTAAGCGCTCTGGGACACTACCCTGCATGAATGGCGCTATGTAAATGCAAGTTGTTATAAAGTGGATTAACTGTATTTTGTGGGCAAAACAGCCTATTGCGCACTGTTTTGTCCCATAAACAGTCGTGTTTTGTAATCATTTATACGCGATTTCTATTCCGTAATCAAAAATATTATGTATATTTTCTTCCTCCTTCAGATCGCCGTGGGTTAGCAACGTTTTATCATTGATCATGGGCGTTCACATAGAAGGGGTATTAGCCATCATCATATTTTACTTGTTAATCCTGTTTGTTGGCATATGGGCTGCTTGGAGATCTAAAAATGTTGGAACCAAAAAAGGGCTTGGTATCAGTGAATCCATAATGGTTGGAGGAAGAGACATTGGCTTATTGGTTGGCATTTTCACCATGACTGGTGAGTCCTAAGGCGGCTTTTATCATATTCTGAGGTTCTTAAAGTTGCTTTAAGTCTTTTTACATTTTGAATTGCGAATTAATTCAAAAAAGTTAATGTCGCTTATTATCCTGAGCACACAGGAAAGCAGGAACAAGAACAGGTTATGCAGTCAACAAGTCTGTTCCACAAAACGGCAGTGAAGACAAAAAACTGGAACATCATAATCAATGTGTCTCTGATGCAACAGCTGAATGTTTATTTCTGTTATCTTTATATGATTTATGTAAACTATGCAGTGGTAGCTGTTTAAATCCCAGCAGTAAACCAATGCATATTCTGGGGTTCCCAAGCCTTGGCTCTTGACAACCTGTGCCTACTACTCTCATGAATTAGTCAAGCAGGGTGAATCCCTCCAAGGAGAGTGAAAAAGTACATTTTCAATTCTCCAGACACAGGAAAATTGCCATGTGTAGATGACATATCGGTGGAATTGGTTTGGATACTAAATATGAAATTATTCTTAAAGTAAGTGTTAATATAACTGGTTTGACCTTTCAGACGAGCATTTGCATGTATTTTATGTGTTGCCTGTCACTGTTTCTTTTTAATGTTTTGTACAGGCTATAAGAACTAAAGCTAATCTCATATATCTAGCTGACGTTAATTTGTCTTTTCTGAACAGTATAATTCAAATTGTATAGCCGTTACATTAATTTATAGATTCTTCTCTCCACTATTATGGTGCCAGACTATAGCAATTGCTTACTTATCATTTCATATTACAGCAACCTGGGTTGGTGGTGGTTATATCAATGGCACAGCAGAGGCAGTTTACACGGTTGGGCACGGCTTGGCATGGGCACAAGCTCCGATCGGAAATTCACTTAGTTTGGCTGTAGGTATGAAAACAAAATCTGAAGTAGTTAATAATTAGAATCAGCCAAATTTACACATATATCTTCAAGCGATCTGTGCATACAAGCTATGCATACATATAACTACAATTAATTATAACAAGTTGCATTTACATAACGCTCTTCACATAAAATGTCTCAGAGCCTTTGACACCAATAATCCACACCACACAACTTTTAACTTGCCAATGTCACCCAATGTAAAACTAGTTAACAGTATTTCAGTTATCCTTGGAATCACCTGATCAATCTCCAATCTAATTCTACCTAGTTGCTTAATTAATACTCAAGTTTCCATATGATTTATTCAATTATTGCTAATGATTTGAATATAATTTTTGGAATAATCACAAGATTGCTTTTCCATTTGGCAGGGGGGTTGTTTTTCGCTAAACCCATGCGGTTAAGAGGTTATGTGACCATGTTGGATCCCTTTCAGAAGATCTATGGCAAACGGATGGGAGGGCTGCTCTTCATCCCCGCTGTGTTGGGTGAGATGTTCTGGTCAGCTGCAGTTCTCTCCTCATTAGGTAAAGAGGTTCTTCCCAATCATCAATTAAATGTCTTATTATCTTCAGTCTTTTTACTGAAGTACTCAGAATGCAAAATTGAATGGCTTTTACTTTGGAAATGCCGACATATATTGAATAAGGAGGAGGCCATTCTAACATCATGGCCATTCTGTTATATCATGGCAGATCTTTTAATCTCATTCCGCTATCATTTTTCCATATCTTTACTTTCCAAATATCTAGCTCCTGTTGTAACACCTCAATAATTCTGCAGCTGGGTTTCACAAATCTATATGAAGATATATTTTCAATTCTCACTTACAATTTTAGGAATGCACCTTCTACAAAAATATCTGTTGTGAATTGCTTCCAGTCGGTCAATGGAATTATTTGCTTTTATTTTCAGGTGAAGCAAACAAAGGTTTATTAAATATGTATGTGGGAAGTGAATATTAACCAGATCCATTTTCCAGGTGCAACATTGAGTGTTATTGTGGACATCAATATCAACATCTCCATTATTGTTTCTGCTGTGATCGCAGTCTTTTACACACTGGTGGGTGGATTGTACTCGGTTGCCTATACAGATGTGGTCCAACTATTCTGCATCTTTATAGGATTGGTAAGATTAACAGTTATTTGAAAGTGTATTGCATGCGTTTGATGAATAATTGAAAGAAACCGTATTTATTATTTTGTCGAATATTATTTATTTGCAGATCATTAGCCAATTATTCAGTTCTATGTTCCTTGATGTTAAGGGAACCCTCTCTTTTCACCCTTCCGCCCCTCCCTTGTTGTTCCCCTCCACCCACTCCCCAGCATCATTGCCAGCACCTCAAAGAACCATGTAGTTTTCCCCCTGGATATACCTGGTTATATTCCCTCCTCCTCTAAATTATAACATATTTGAACCAATTAGTTACATTAGCTACTACAATAGCCTTGTTGTTTGTAGCAAGTTACTGATTCACATTACCTGCTGTAACAACAATCATTTAACTTCTAATTAATCGTTGTAAAGCTTTGAAAATGTTGTTTTTACTTGAAAAGCCCTAAATAATTGCAAGTTGTTGTTTCACCATTGAAGAGAGCCAGTATAGAAGCTTTTAATCCTCTCTTCTCAGTGGATCAGCGTACCCAGTGCCTTGAGTCATCCATCAGTTACAAACATCGCCCTGACAGCAACAAAGTATGTTTACCAGGATGCTTGGCTCGGGGAGATACATCTGCCAGATACCTTTCTGTGGCTCGACAATTTCTTTTTATTGGTATGGAAGATTTGTCTGATGTATATTACAATACATACACAATTTATATTCTATTTGTAAAGTATTTTATATAAATATAATAAAATATGCACATATGACTGATTGGTTGAACACCGAACTTCCAACCAGGATTTGGACTTCAGGTTCTGTGGGTGCTCTATGTAAGAATATCTTCCTGGGAGAAGTTAATCTGGCCTTATTGAAATGGAAGTGGCTCCAACGAAGTATATTTGAAAAACCCAAGGTGTTGTGTAGCAATCCAAGACATTATTGATGGTTGACCAGTCTGTCTGGTTCTTGAATGGGAATTGGAAGTGTAGAAATGTTGCCAGCTTTGAAAGTCAAAGCCCTATGATGCAAGACAGTCCAAGCTGGATTCGAACATGTTGCATGGTTATTATAAGATATATTTTGCTGGATAGTTGGTCGGGCAAAAACCAGATCATAAACCACTCTTGGCACAGTCCCCATGCCTCTCAAAACAGCTGTCATCACTCCTGTTCTTAAAAAGTCTTCCCTCCACCCAACCTTGTTCCCTAACTACCACCCTATCTCCAACTTACCTTTTGTTTCAAAGTACTGAAATGAGTTGTTGCTTCCCAGCTCCACTCTTTCCTTTCCTGGTGCTCCATGCACAAATCCCTCCAATCTGGCTTCCCTGCTGCCCACAGCACTGAGATTACCCTGGTGAAAGTCCCCATCGATATTCTCTATATGTGACCAGGGCTAACCAGAAAATATTGTTTACAATACAATACAAAATTACATTTGTAAAGTGCCTTTCATGTTGGGAGGGCATCCCAGGGCGCTGAACGGTCAGGCATGGTCGAGAGGAGGGTCTTGAGGTGTGCCTTGAAGGAGGCAAAAGAGGGAGTGAGGTGGAGGGAATGTGGGATGGAGTTCCGGAAGGTGGGGGCAGAGAGGCTGAAGGCATGACCGCTGATAGTGGGGCGGGCCGTGCCGGGTGGGGGACATGGAGTAGGCTGGAACCTGCTGAGTGGGGTGAGTGGACAGATTGATAACTTATAATGTTATCTGAATGTTTAATGAAATAATAAATGCAAGTATTAATGTATATTACGTCCATAGTGTGTCAATTTATATCATCACATGAGCAACATACTAATAATATAAATAATAATAATCCTTACATTTGATATAGCGCTTTTCAAATCTTCTTGACGTCTCAAAGCACTTCACAGAATAGACTGTAAAGTGAATTGACTATATATTTGTGGGTGAAAAGCGGCAGCCAATTGCGCACAGCAGTGTCCCAGAAACAGTCGTGGATTGAAAATGACCAATTTATTATTGTTTTTTGTTTTGGAGGGATTATCATTAGGTATATGGAGTAAGGAAACTTGCCCAAGGTTTTGCCCTGCCTGGAATTGAACCCAGGTGTCTCGCTTGCAAGGCGAGTGCTCTAACCACTGAGCTACAGGACTCTGAATGAAAAGTGAGCTTACAGTACAATAAATAACTGCTCTTTTTCAGATGTTCGGAGGACTTCCATGGCAGGCCTACTTTCAGAGGGTTCTCTCAGCTTCCTCTGCAACCACTGCACAAATCTTGTCTCTTCTGGCTTCCTTTGGCTGCATGGCAATGGCGATTCCATCTGTGATTTTTGGTGCAATTGGTGCATCAACTGGTAATGTACCTTTCTCAGCAAACCACCATTTCATTCTATTATAATTTAACAGTAAGATATTTTGAAAAAGTATGTTTCGGTCAGCCGGGTGTCTGACACATGCGGAGACCCATCACCATGCTTATCAACAACAACAACAAGATTACATTTGTATAGCAAGTCTGGAGGACGTCCCAAGGTGCTGGAGCGAGTATAGCATTTCAGACCCGGGTTGGGGGGGGAGGGGAGGGGAAGGGTGGGGGGCGGATGGCATGGTCGAAGAGGAGGGTCTTGAGGTGGTACTTGAAGGAAGCTAAGGAGGGGGTGAGGCGGAGTGACTGGGGTATGGAATTCCAGAGATTGGGGGCAGAGTGGCTGAAGACTCTCCCACAAATGGTGGGGTGGGTAGGTCGGGAGACGTGGAGTAGGCCAGAGCCGGCTGAGCGGAGAGAACGGGCGGGTTGGTAGGGGGTTAGGAGGTCGCAGAGGTCGGGTGGGGCGAGGCCATGGAGGGCTTTGTAGGTGAGGACCAGGATCTTGAACTGGATCCTCTGAAGGATAGGATCAGGCGATGTTACAGTGGTGAGGGAAAGCAGAGCGGGTCATGGCTTGAATGTGGGGGATTGAATGTGGGGGAGAAAAGACAGTTGAGGGTTGAACAAGACACCTGGGTTCCTGACAGACTTGATGAGTTGTAGTGTGCAACCATGGAGGTTGATGTTGCCAGAGCCTGGGGTGCCGAGGTGCTGGCGCGAGCCAATCAGGAGGGCCTCAGTCTTGTTCACATTCAACAAGACTTATGTATCCAAACCAAACTGAGAATTCCATACATCCCACCTAGACATGGAAATTCCAGAGATAGAATGTTGGAATGGAATGTGCACTCTCTCCCTGGAGGGATACATCCTCCTCAGTCACTCTCCTCCACAACTCCCTCTCCACCATTCTCGATGCCCTTGCTCCCCTCACTTCCCGAAACACCTCCTACTCACGGAAGTCATCCTGGTATACCAGCCACCCCCACTCCTTCAAGGCACAGGTGCGTGCCACCCAACAAACCTGGCTCAAATCTAATTTAACAGTCCATTGGCAGATGTTACTGGACCTTATTTTGAAAACCTACCGCTCTGCCCTTGCCTCCTCTAAATCTTCCTTCTCCAAGACAATCTTGGAGGCCATGTACAACCCCAAGCTCATCTTCTCCATAACCAACCAGCTCCTCCGCCCAACCTTTCATGCCTCGCCCATCCTCTCCTCCAAAGCCAACTGTTAGGAGATGCTGGACTTCCTTGAAACCAAAATCGAGGGGATCCACTCAGCTGCCTCTGCCCTTCCGACTACTACACCCTCCCCATCTCCCCCTCACATCCCAGTCCCTCCACACCTTCAAACCTGTCTCCCCCTTCTCTCTCACTACCACTATAACCCACATGAAACCGACCATCTGCTCCCTCGACCCCTTCCCTACGCCTCTCCTTACTTTCCAGCTCCACTTCCTTGACCCCTGCTTACAGACATTATAAGCCTCTCCCTGTCCACTGGCACCATTCCAACCCCTTTAAAATGTCCGTCATCACTCCTATCCTTAAAAAACCCTCCCCGGACCCATCCCTACTCTCCAACCGCTCTTTCCTTTCCAAAATCCGGGAACAAGTGTTGCTTTTCAGCTTCGTTCCTTCCTCTTCCGCCACTCCCTTCACGAAACACTCCAATCGAGTTTCAGTGCTGCCCACAGCACAGAAACAGCTTTGGTCAAAGTGACAAATTACATTTTGTCCATCTGCGATCAGAGCTCCTTTTGCCTCTTTATCCTCCTTGACCTCTCTGCTGCCTTTGATACCTGTGCCTTGAAGGAGTAGAGGTGACTGGTGTACCAGAATGACTTCCGTGAGTAGGAGGTGGTTCGGGAAGTGAGGGGAGCAAGGGTATCGAGAATGGTGGAGAGGGAATTGCGGAGGACACCCTTTCGACCACTCTATCCTGCTCCACTGCCTCTCCTCTAACTTCAACCTTCATGGTTCTGTCCTTGAATGGTTCAGATTCTACCTCTCGCACTGTCTCCACTTCATCTTTATGGCTTCTCCTAGCCCCACACCGTCTGGGGGAAATTCCTCAGGGCTCTGTCCTTGGTCCCCTCCTCTTACCTATATGCTTCCTCCTGGTGGCATCATCCGCAGACATGGGATCAACTTCCACATGTGTGTAGATGACAACCAACTCTTTCTCTCTGCCTCCACCTTCAACTCCAGGACCACTGCTGTCCTGACAGAACGTCTGTCAGACATCAAGTATTGGATGAGAGCTAACTTTCTGCAGTTGAACGTCAACAAGACCGAGAACCGCCTGATTGACTGCTGCCAGAACCTCCACACCTCAAGCGCTAATGGCATCGCCATCCAAGGATCCACACTCCACCTCACTGAGCCGGTCCGGAACCTAGGCGTCTTGTTTGACCCTCAACTGTCCTTTCTACCCCATATCCGTGCCATTACCCACTTTGCCTTCCCCCACCTCCGCAATGTTGCTCGGCTCTGCCACTGTCTCACACCACAGGCCGCCGACACCCTCATACATGCATTCATAACATCCAGGCTCGAATACGCAAACTCCCTGCTTGTCGGCCTCCCCAACTCCTTCCTCCCTTGCCCCAGTTTCAAGACCTCCTCCTCGACCATGCCTTCGGTGACCCTCCTTCCCCTCGTGGGCTCCATCTTCCCCGATCCTGCCCCCCGGCTCAGGTCCAAAACACTGATTGTTCAGCACCTTGGATTGTCCTCTTGATGTGAAAGGCACTATATAAATGTAATGCTGTTGTTGTTGTTGCTTACCTAATTGTGGAAAGTATTAGGTGCAAGGCTTGGAGACCTCAAGGAGGGAAGAATTGGGAAATCTGGTGAGCAGAGAGTTGGCATGTGCTAAAAGTATGGTTAGGGGTCCCAGTGACCTGAGGAGAGAGGGAGAGGTAGTAGCAGAGACGTATAATGTTGTTGAGGTGGGGGGTAAGCTGAATGCGTTGGAGCACAGATGTGGGGTTTAAAGGACAGTTGAGAGATGGATAAGATACCGAGGTTCCACACTGGAATCATGAAGTGCATCCATACAAATTGATGCTGTCAGTGCCTGAGGTGAGAAGGTATTGATGAGAGCCAAGCAGAAGAGCCTCAGTCTTGTTGACATTCAATTGGAGAAAGTTAGCTCTCATTTAGGACTTTATGTCCAACAGGCAATGGTCAGAACAGCAGTGGCTCCTGGAATTGAAGATAGAGGTGGAGAGATAGAGTTGGTGTCATCTGTATACATATGGGTTAATGCCAATGCCAGCGGATGATATCATGAGCGGGAGCATGTAGATATTAAAGTGGAGAGTACCAAGGATAGAGCCTTGAGGACTGTTGCACATGACTGTATAGCCTGGACAGCCTTCACAGGTGATCGTGTCTTGGAGCACTGGAATACACAGCAATTTACAAGTGCAAGCATTATTATTATTATTACTGTCGGACATAAAGTCCTCAATTACTGTGAAATGTGGATCCTGTAGCTCAGTGGTTAGAGCACTCGCTTTGCAAGCGAGAGACCTGAGTTCAATTCCAGGCAGGGCGAAACCTTGGGCAATTTTCCTTACTCCACATGCCTAATAATAATCCCTCCAAAACCAAAAACAATAATAAATTGGTCATTTTCAATCTACGACTGTTTGTGGGACATTGCTGTGCGCAATTGGCTGCTGCGTTCGCTCGCAAATATACAGTCAATTCACTTTACAGTGTGTTCTGTGAAGCGCTTTGGGACGTCCTCCCGACGTGAAAAGCGCTATATCAAATGCAAGGATTATTATTATTATTAAATGTGCTTTGACATGACAAGGTGTATATCAAATGCAAATATATATTTTTATTTGATAAAAGTAGCTAGCTAATAACTTTTTTAAATGAAAGAAAAATACATTGCATCAAATTATCACAGACTATCACAAGAGTTATTTGCAAAGGTGTCAAACAAATCTACTACTGCACAGTCTCCAAATCTTGTATAATTTTAAAACCATTTTTTTCTGCAGAGCAAATTACATTCAAATGTTCTTTTGATCTATATAGACTGGAATCAGACCACCTATGGATTACCAACCCCTATGGACAGGAATCAGAGTGATATGATTTTGCCAATAATACTGCAGCACCATTGTCCACCATACATTTCCTTCTTTGGCCTTGGAGCTGTCTCTGCTGCCGTGATGTCATCAGCAGACTCTTCTATTCTATCAGCAAGTTCTATGTTTGCTCGAAATATCTACAGTCTTGCATTCAGACAGCAGGTAAGCTCAGGCTTCAAGACAATAATTCACACAGGTATTATAGATGAAGTTGGTTTGGGCCCTGTTTGTTTGTTTGTTTGTTCTTTTTAATACCTTGTAGTGACTATGGAAATTTCCCATGCATGAGTAAATATTCAAAAAGATAAAGAAATTTCTTCTGGTGCCCTGGCCAATGATTCTTGACATAAATTAGTCATTCACTTCATGACTGTGGGATATTGTTGTTCACAAATTGTCTTCCTTGGGACGTCCTCCCGACGTGAAAGGCGCTATACAAAGGTAATCTTATTGTTGTTGTTGTATCTACAAATATACAGTCAGATGTAAATCACGTGACATGCTTTGAGACATTGACGATGTGAGAAGGCACTATAAATGAAAAGATTATGTATGTTTATAATATAAGTGAGGTACACTGTATGAGGAAACAAATAGAATCAGTTCTCAGCTAATACTATTCGAATAACTTGAAAAAAAATATTGTATTAATTTTATTAAATTCATTACACCACAAGTGATGTTTTTTCACAATATAACTTATTTGTTGCAGGCTACAGACAAAGAAATCGTGTGGGTTATGCGAATCAGCATATTCATGTTTGGAGCAGCTTCAACATCATTGGCATTGCTAGCCAAATCTGTCTATGGCTTGTGGTATCTGAGCTCGGATCTGGTTTATGTTATTGTCTTTCCTCAGTTGGTATCAGTACTCTTCATCAACGTAACTAACACATATGGCTCCATTGCTGGATATATAATTGGTTTATTGCTACGAATTAGTGGAGGTGAACCATATTTACACCTGAAGCCATTTGTTTGTTATCCTGGATGTTACATAAATCATATCTATACAAATAGAGAAGTCTATGTTCAGACATTCCCCTTTAAAACCATAGCAATGCTAGTTTCCTTTTTGACCAACATTCTTGTTTCTTCTCTAACCAAGTTCCTGTTTGAACATGAAATCTTGCCAGAAAAATATGACATTTTTAATCTTGTTTCACGATCGGAAAAAGTAAAAATAGAAAGGATGAGCATGAGAAAGCATGGCAAAAAATCCGAGCTAGTGCAAGTGAATCCAACACAAAATGACTCTCCTGATGCTCACATGATAGGATTCGAGGACACTGAGTCAAGTCCTGAATCTTCCAAGACAGCCAAACAGTCACCTTCCTTTCCATCCGCTTGAGATTCAATCATAAATTGAACAAGGAAAAATTAATTACATAAAGTGAGGTGTTTCAGGAATTTTTGTTTTTAACCAACATTTTACCAATGTTTCATTTAAATCCTATTGTACAGTATTGTTTGAATGTGTGTACATTTTCAAAAAAATCTAATTAAACTGAAGTTTCTGAATTGGATAGGTTTTAGACTATTTTAGAGTATTATTATAATAGTATTACAATGAAGATACATAACGCCACAGTGTTTTGGATTGGGTAGTTTTGAGGAGCCTCAACGAAGACAGGTGATGAAATCGACACAATCATTTCAGTAAAGCAACAATCCCCCTCCACCTCCCCACCCCCCAACTTCTCACACACACTTATCGGATTCCTTCCCTTCTGCACAGGCAGTTGACAAAATGCAATCAAAAGAAATTGGATAGGTTTTAGACTATTAACTATTCTAATAGTGTTACCATGAATATACATAACACCACAGTGTTTTGGATTAGGTAGTTTTGAGGAGCCTCAACGAAACAAAATAATGAATACCATAGCCTATTTATTAGGAAATAAATCCGTTAGAAAAAAATTCTATCCCAGATATTTCTAGAGAAACCTAAAATGATTGTTAACAATCAGATTACTTCACAAATTGTGGTCACTGGGTATTAAAGCCAAGATATGGACATGGATTCAAAATTGGCTAAAGGGAATGAAGCAGAGGGTCTTTGTTAGGGCAGCTATAATTAGATATTATTGACCTGGACTTTTACATCAGTGTAAGAGAGTTAAATTTGCCATAACATCAAGTTAGGGGGAACTGTGAAACAGAGGAAGCAGCAAAGATCCTACAAAGAGAGCTTGATAGGCTATGCACATGGTCTGATAATGTTTAATACTGATAAATACAAGATATTACATAAAGGATCCAAGAATGCGATATACAAGTACTCCATGGATGAGATAATAATGTAATAATCCTTGCATTTGATATAGCGCTTTATCACATCTTCGAGACAAAGCACTTCACAGAACAATAATCGTTGCATTTGATATAGCATCATATCACGACTTCGAGACATCTCAAAGTGTTTCACAGAATATACTGTACAGTGAATTGACTGTATTTTGTGGGCAAAACACAACAGCCAATTGTGCACACTAGTGTCCCACAAACAATCGTGGATTGAGTAACCATTTATTTGTTTTTTAAGGAATTATTATCCTAGGAAAAGCGATCTGCCAATTGACTAACAACTGGGCTCCTATTTGCATTTGATATAGGTAAATGGAGGTATGTGGAGTAAGGACACTTGCCCAAGGTTTCGCCCCTCCCGGGAATCAAATCCGGGTCCTCTCCTGAAAGAGATCTGATGTGTTGCCTCTCAGAGCTTGGCTAGTCTGGGCTCATCTTCCAGCGAGTGGGATGAGAGTGGAGTGAGCGGTGAGCTCCAATTGGTACTCTGTTTACCTAGCAGTAAGTCGGAACCCGTTTGTTAGTTAGTTGGCAGATCGCTTTCCAGGGGAAAATAATGCCTTAAAAAATATGGTCACTCAATCCATGACTGTTTGTGGGACACTGCTGTGCACATTTGGTTGCTGCGTTTCGCCCAAAAAATATACAGTCAATTCACTTTGCAATATATTCTGTGAAGCTCTTTGAGATGTCTGGAAGACATGATAAGGCGCTATATCAAATGCAAGGATTATTTTATTATAAATCATGGGTTGTTAGTTGACTCCTTGCTTACTATGTCAAAACAGTGTGAAGTAGCAATAAACAATGCAAACAGAATGCTGGGCTATATTCCTAAATCAGTTAAGCTTAGATCCCCAGACATCACATTGAGCTGTACAGTGCTCTGATCTGACTGCATTTTGAATACTGCATACAGTTCTGGTCCATGCAACATGGAGATTCCCCACCCTTGAGGCAGTGCAAAGAAGAGCAACAAGGATGGTCCTCAGTGTTTGAAGGATGAGCTATGAGGAACAATTACACATGCTTGGACTCTTCAGGCTTGAGAGAAGACGACTCAGAGGGAGCCTCAAGATCACCTCAAGGAGGTGTATACAATTTGATATGGGATTCAGTTAGTAAACCAAGATCAATACTTTAGGATGCATTAAGATAGTAGAACAAGGATATGGGTTTAGAATTGTAAAGGGCAATTTCAGGACAGATACCAGGAAGTTGTTCTTTACACAGAGGTTAATCAACGTCTATAACCGGTTGACAGAAAAGTTGGTAGAGGCCACAAAATTAATCTAGACTAAATTAAAAAGCAGCTTGATCCAGTGATAGGGGGAAGGGGATTGATAGGATGGGTGTACTGGAGGGTCGATATCAGATTGGCTGAAGGCCTTCTTTATCCAGACCAATCTTGTGTTCCTTTGAATCAAAAATATCATGTGATACCCTCCCATGCAATCTCACACTGGCTCAGTCCCAACAGCAGCATTACACCTTTCAATTGTTACTTTGGTACATCTGAAAGCTAATGAGAAACATCTAGTTTCACAAGGTGTCTCCAGCTTTTAAACTATTCTGACTATTACAGTAATATTGCAGCAATTTAGAAAAATCCTCTCTCTCTGTGCCTTTATCTATTCAAATAAAATCCAAGGCACACACAACAACACTGTCTCTCTTATCTACACTCTTTTCTCCTACTTCTCATTGTTCTCTCTCTTATCTTTCCAACTTCCCCAGGTACTGACATCAGGAAACCTGGCCACAAATGGTAGTAATGAATGTCAGCTTCTCTGACATCTGCAGTGCTTCTTGGGTATTCATCACATGCACAAGATGCAGGAAATAATGTCAGCAGTGGCTGTTTAGATGCTGTGCCATATTAAAACATGGCATGATCTAGAGGAAACAGGGAGAGGCAGAGAAAGAGTCAGAGAGTATGTATGAGAGAATGGAGAGAAAGAGATAGAGGAGGGGATGGTGGGAGAACTAAGTGTGAGTTTGATGCACACAAAACTTGTGCGCAACCTAGGCGTCAGGTCCCTGACCAGTACCTCTTTCCTCTGTCTCTGCCATATTGCCCACCATAGGATATGATGGACCCTTTGGAAAGGTCAGATGAAAGTCAGCTGAACCCACCAAAGGTGTGAGGTTTTCAAGGAGAAAGTGATGGGCTGCCCCTTCTAAAGGTCATCATATGACCCACGTTATGGCAATCCTTTTCTGAGAGCAACTGTGAAACAGGAATTGCAGGGAGCATTAGCCACAAACAGCAAGGAATGCAGTTGGTGTGTTATCAAAGTCAGGTCATGAGAGACCTCTCACACATGCTGTGGGGAAAGGCAGACAAGAGACTCAAGAGGAGGCCAACATGCCACAAACAACATAACTATGGAACAAGTCTGGTTAGTTTCGAAGCACTCAGGGACGCCACCCGGCGTGGAGGATGCTATATAAATGCAAGTTGTTGTTGTTAGTTTGGCACAGGTTGTGGTAGGTTCTCCGGCAAGTAGCAGGGGAAAACCAGGTGGATGAACCAAAAGTAACATGTGGCCCAAGAGGAGATAGTGTGCTGTGGGGCACCACAAGAACCGAGCATGCATGCACCAAGATTTGTTTGCCAGGGAACAGCCAGTGAAAAAGTGCCTGTGAGGGATGTTATTTGGGGCAAGTCGATGTAAGAGTGGGGCAGTGTAATGGGTCTGTGAGTGGAGACCATGCAACATTCTGTTGCCAAGCATGTCACCTTAGAGCCATTTCAGATCCAAGCAATCCCTGCTTAACTCCTACCCAAGAAGAAGAGTCACTAATTGGTCATTTGACATCTGACAAGCATAGATTTGAGCCCTCACTAGGTGGATGGCAGGTATCAGGAACTCTGCAAGCTTCCTGACGAGCAGCTCAGCTCAGCACGTAACCCATGAGAAAACTTCCCCCTCCTTCCTACCCACAACAACACACATCATTATTGATTGAGCTATAGTTGGAAGTGCAGAGCTTGAGCATCATCTTTGCTCTCTGCATACGAATCAAGGTGGAACCCTGTCTGTTCATGAACCTGGATTCCACATAATGCCTTCCAGCAGCTGTTGTCTCAATCTCAAGTCAGAAATGGCAAGCTGAATGATGGTGATTAGCATGTAAATTACACTCATCATGCACATGCACATTGGGAAAATTTACAGATGACACAAAGATAATGAAGATGGTAGACTGCAAAGATGAACAGGATAGCTTCCACGAGGACTTGAACAGTTTGGAGAATTGGGCAGATCAATAGCAGATGAAATTCAATGTAAAGAAATGCAAAGTGCTTCACATGGGGACAAGAAATTCAGGAAGGGACTATTATTTAAATGGAAAGAAAATAATCTGTACGGAAAATGAAAAGGACCTGGGTGTCCTGATTGCTAATGAATTGAAACTATCCCAACAGTGCTTGGTAGCAATGAGTATGGCATCCAGATGCTGGGCTGTATTAAAAGGGCATGATTGAGCTGAAATAGTGGGGTAATCCTGCCACTTTAATAATCACTGGTGAGACTGTACTTGGAGTACTGTGTGCCACAATATAAAAAGGATATTACAATGATTGAGAGAATACAGAGGAGGGCAACCAAAATGATTGAGGGGATGGAGGGAATAGACTACAAGGAGTGATTAGATAAACTGGGCATGTTCACGCTGGAGAAAAGAAGGTTGAGGAGTGATATGATTACGGTCTTTAAGGTTCTGAAGGGACGAGATAATATAGACCATGATAAGCTGCTTTATCTTGTACTGGACAGTAGAACCAGAGGGCATGGTCTGCAATTGAAGAGGGTTAAATTCAGAACAAATGTGCGGAAACACTACTTCAGTGAGTGAGTAGTAAACTTATGGAACAGGTTCCTCGGGTTTGTTTTAAGAACAAATTAGATAGATTTCTGTAAGAAAATAATATCTCGGGATAGAGTATATAGTTTGGGATACAACTGCTTGGGTGGTGGAAGGCAAACTAGATGGATCTCGGTTTTATTTCACCTCGCAAATTCTTATGTTCTTATCTAATAATTATATAATGATATATTATAATAATATAATATATAATTACGGTCTTACATAATAATTCTTATATAGGTACTGTGGAATATCAACTTTATTTTTTTCTGATTGTCAAAACAATCTCTCCACTAATCCTTGTACCATACAACCTCCTTAATTCATTCTGTTTTTCATAAACACATTCTTTACTATCTTATCTGTGGATCGGGTTAGTGCATTAACACCTTCTCACAATTCTTTGCTTTCCAGTACTCCTTTCAGTTAACTTTGACTTTTATATGACACCTCACCCTCCACTGTACTTTTTCTTCTATCTATTGCAATACAGATTTAGAATTAAATTAAATTTAGCTTTAGATTTATTTCTGTTTGGGATTTAGACTCGTTTATTTGGGGATTTATTACGCTGACGGACAAATAATCACTTTCACGTTATCGAAAAACACACAACATTCACTCAGTAACATAACTAAATATAATAATAATAATAACAATAAGCATTGCATGTGATAGAGCTCCTATCACGTCGTTGAGCTGTCTCGGGACTGTATAGTTTGCAGATTTTTAAAATATATATATTTTAAATGATGACATTAATTCCCCCCGTATTGTCCTTTCCATCCCTGTCCGCCCTCTGCCCTCTGCTCTGCAATAAGCCCCTCACCCCAGTCTGAGGCCATCCCTGGAGCCGCCAGAACCATCCACATGGAGCCCTCACTCACATCTCAGTGACGTTCGCCTCTTCTGGAACCGCTGCCCAAACCCCTCCTTTATACAAAGCCATTTGAAAAGTGTCAGTTACCGGAGACACCGAGAGATCCCCTCTCCAAACCACTGCTGCCGATTGACCATCTGCTGTCGGGAGCCAAAGGGACCACATGCGCCCCCAAGTACAGGGCAACACAATCCCCCCCAAAGGTAAGTCCAGTGGTGATCACCTTCTCTGTGCATTTGCTGCAAAGAAACCCTCTTTGTTGGAATAACGTCACAAGCGTTTGTGCAGTGGTTGTGTTTCCCTTTTGCAGCTGATGTTTGAAGCCAAGTTCCTCACCACAAAAAAAAAGGCTGATTCCATCTGTTGGCTTCATGTCCAGGTTCCCCTCCAGTAAACAGCAGCTTCACTTTCCTGAACATCACTTGGGTCTCCAGCCCTGGACATCTTTTCGGACCATTTAGTCCAACATTATTGGGATGAGATGTTGTCGGGTATTCGGCAGTGTTCAGCTATATATGAGGTTAATTCTGGATCCCCATCTTGTACATTAAAGCTGCTGCCGGCGGGTTATATACATATATATATCTCCAGTTCCCGCCCTCACACAGACGGGCAGTTACAGGTTACAGTTACAAACGGTCGATCTTCAGAACTACATCAGGTTGAGCAGAGCTGAGATGTTTTGATTCGAGCCGCTGTGTTCCTGAGCCGCGTCCACACAGCAGATACTCCGCCAATAATTGCCATCACAACCTTTCTGGTGACTTGTGTCTGTCTGTTCGTTGAGTTCACTGTCTCTGAGCGGAATTCCTGATTAAAGCCCATTCCTGAACAGGGCTGTTTTGGAAGGAACATCCTACACTGGAACACCTTCCCCACCAGGTTATACTTGTACACACGTTACAGACATGGAAACGTGAGATACACTGCACAGTATTGCAAATATAGTAGACATTTAAAAAACCGACCTGGACCTCGTGGTGAACTGCTCTATAATCTGGTCTAAAACGAAAAATACAGTATTATGCATTTATATTTTCTTTCTCCTTCAGATCTCCATGGTTGGCGAACCTCATCAGCTACGTTATATAACTCAATATGAGTTTACAGATTGAAGGAATAATAGGTGTCGCCTTGTTTTATTTTTTAATTTTGTTGGTTGGGGTATGGGCTGCTTGGAGAACTAAAAATGTTGGAGTAGAAAGAGGCATTGGTTTTATGGAAAGGAGCATAGTTGGAGGAAGAGACCTTGGAGTATTGATTGGCAGTTTCACCCTGACTGGTGAGTCTTGAGCGTCTTTTATCATATTCTGAAGTTATGCTATTCTGAAGGTCTTATCGTTGCTTTAACTCTTCTTAGGTGTTCAAGTGAGTATTCATTAAAAAATACTAACATTGTACATTCATAGAATTATAGAATTATACAGCACAGAAGGTGGCCTTTCAGACCACCCTGTCTGTGCCAGCTCTTTGAAAAGAGCTATCCAAAGAGCTAGCCATTATCCCTAAGTACAAGATTAAGTCAATCAGAATAGCAATTGTTGAATGTTTATTCCCTTGTCTTTATATTGTGCAGAAGAAGCAATACATTAATGTTTGAGATGGCAATTCCGACTAAAGTTAATCACCAGTTTTTGTAGATGTGTAAATTTGATTACTATAATAGATAAATTAAGCAATGTACCTTTAGAGATTTAGCCCTGTCGCTTTTTGTTCCTATTAATTAATCATCAAATATTACAAATTAGCCAAAATTCAATTTGTTCAGTCAAAGTTTTTTTTGAGTGTTGATAATTTAGGTAAACCTAAATGCCTCACCCTAACTCACACCCACGTTAAAAACAAATAAAAACAGAAGTTTGCTGGGAACACTGAACAGGTCAGGCAGCATCTATGGAGAGAGGAAAGTGAATCAACGTTTCAGATTGATAACCTTTTGTCAGAATTAAGCTTACTCTCTCCATAGATGCTGCCTGACCTGCTGAGTGTTTCCAGCGACTTTTGTTTTTATTTCAGAATTCCAGCATTTGCAGTACCTTGCCCACTTTTTAAAAATTGTTTAGATCTTTCAGTACAACATTTGCTTGTATTTTGTGTGTTGCCTCTCACAGTTTCCTTTTAACATTTCCAGCAGTTTATAAGACCTAAGATTAATCTCATATATAAACTGATGTTAGAATGTATATGTTGTCACCATTGACTGTACAGCACAATTCACATTCTGTAGCCGTTGTATTCAATTTGTAGATGCCTCTCTCGCCTGTTTTTGTGCTGCTCTAGAACAATTGTTTACTTATTTCATATTACAGCGACCTGGGTTGGTGGTGGATATATCAATGGCACAGCAGAGGCAATTTACATCCCTGGGCACGGCTTGGCATGGGCACAGGCTCCAATTGGATATGCGCTTAGCCTGTTTATAGGTATGAAAACAAATCTATAACTGAAATCAAGTACAGTATCAGCCATTCACATTTATATCATCAGCAATCTGTGGACAAAGATGCCTATAACAATGAACGAGATGCTATTTTGCAGGAAGCTTTAACAAAGAGCGATTATCGGAATTATAGTAAACTCCTGATAAATCATCACCCAAGGGAAAAGGACTCAGCAACTAGTTAACCAGAGGGGCTAGTTAGGCATAGGTCATCCCGGGCCTAAGACTGGTGTGGGTGTTCGGTGGAGGATGAACAGTTTTAGCTGGTTAGACACCAGAGGTACCCAACGAACACTCTGGGGCCCCAAAGCCTTGGCTCTTAACCTGTGCCTAATACTCTTTGGAATCAGGTAAACAAAATGCGTCCCTCCGTGCAGAGAATGCGCATTCCATTCCAATCCACAAAAAATTCTATGCATACATTGAATGCATTGAACTCTGGTTTGGATATTCTTAAGGATGATGATGGGTTTACAATATAATCCAATACCAATTTACATTTATATAGCACCTTTCATATCAGTAGGATGTCCCAAGGCATTGGTAAGTCCAGTGTTTGCATCTGAGCTGGGGGTTAGGACCAGGGGATCGGGGAAAGAGGGGGAAAGATGGCCAAAAGTGTGGTCAAAGAGGAAGGTCTTGAAGCAGACCTTGAAGGAGGTGTAGAAAGGGATGAGTCAAAAGGACTCTGGGATGGAGTTCCAGGAGTGGGGGCAGAATCACTGAAAGCCAGAGTGCCAATAATAATAATAATAATAATAATAATCCTTGCATTTGATATAGCGCTTTTCACGTCTTCTAGACGTCTCAAAGTGCTTCACAGAATATACTGTAAAATGAATTGACCGTATATTTGTGGGCAAAACGTGGCAGCCAATTGGCACAGCAGTGTCCCACAAACAGTCGTGGCTTGAAAATGAACAACTTATTATTATTTTTGGTTTCGGAGGGATTATTAATCGGTGTGTGGATTAAGGAAACTTGCCCAAGGTTTTGCCCTGCCTGGAATTGAACATAGGTGTTTCGCTTGCAAGGCGAGTGCTCTAACCACTGAGCTACAGGACTCCACAATGGTGGGGAGGTTAGGCCAGCGGTCATGAAGCTGTGTCCGCTGAGTGGAGGGAGTGGCCGTGTTGGTAGGGTTTAAGGAGATTGCAAAGAGATAAGACCGTAGATCGATTAAAGGTTAGCACAAGGACTTGACATGATCCACTGGGAGATGGGGAGCCACTTGAGCTGGGGAGGATGGAAGTGATAGACTCGCACAGCCTAGTGAAGAAAAAGCCATGAGCTGCAGGGTTCTGGATAGTCAGCAGGTTGTAAAGGGAAGAGGCAGGTAGTCTGGTAATCAGAAAGTTGGAGTGGTATAGCCTGGATGTGATAAACTTGCAGGTCACATCGCTTTACAGTGTTTAGATTTATCCTGTGAATCGGTTTAAGACTTCCTGCTGATTTGAAAGGTACTATATCAAATGTAAGGATTATTATTATTATTACTAACACTGATAATGATTTTCATATAATTTAATAAATAACCACTAGATTCTTGCAATGTTTTGGAGTGAGCAAATATTTAATATTTATGGATTATTAACCATCTAAACTGTATGTTCAGGGTCAATAAATATCATGGCCATTTAACTCAAACAGTTTATAATTTAGCTTTGGTTGCCTAAACATTTTGAAAGCATTAAAGTCAATATCCAAGGCGATCTTAGAGTAGTACACAAAGGACAAATATTATTTTTACATAACACTATAATTTGGTTATACTGTCAAACATATTAACTTATTCACTTGTGTAATTAGAGTTATCCTGTCACTTACTTGAAAATGCTGTACTGCTATGTCTAATATAAATAGCTTATTAATTGGCAAAGCTCAAAATTAGCAACAGGTCAATCAGAGAGCAACCCAGCTTAAACTAATAGATTCTGTAAATTGGGGCATGGACAATAAAACCAAAGAGGTGATGCTTGACTTGTATAAATCACCAATTAGACCATAGTTAGAGTGGCTGAAAGCACATTCAAAAAGATAGATCGCAAGGCACGTTTTGAAGGCAAAGAGCCACTCTGGGCTAGAGTTCCAGAGTGGGGGTAAAATGGCTGAAAGCTCATCCACAAGCATTGGCAGATCAGGCGAGGGAAATGAAGCAGGCCAGTGTTTGTTGAGTGGAAGGAGCTCACAAAGAGGTCACAGAGGTAGGCCATAGAGACATTTGAAAGTGAGGACAAGGATCTTGAATTCAATGCGCTTCAGTACTGGGAGTCAGTGGAGCCAGCAAGGATAGGGGTGCTCGCGGAGCCTGGCGCTATGGAGGACGAGACTTGCAAGGATGGGATATGGTTATGGGAGGATGAAAATAAGATAATACAAGGAGGAAAACTTAGAATTGTTCATTTGTTTGCCACTGGGAATATTTAATTCATTTCTGACAAAGGTATTAAAACAGGAAGTTGGAAACAAATCCTCAAGTGGCAAGCCTTTTAATGGGACATTGCTGTGCGCAAATTAGCTGCCATTGGCTGCCATGTTCTCCCACACAAAAAAAAGTAACTTTGCTTTAAGCTGTGAAGCGCTTTAAGACTTCCTGCTGATTTTTTCGGTTACAGGATTGCAGTAGATTAATGGTAGGGAAGATGATTAAGTGGCAATTTTTTGCCCTTGATTTTAGTAACTGTAAATGCCAATTAAGTTAGGTATGAATTTTGCCATCCAAAATTAAGAGCTGTTTCTCTATTTGGCAGGGGGGTTGTTTTTTGCTAAACCCATGCGGTTACAAGGTTATCTAACCATGCTGGATCCCTTTGAGAAGATCTATAACAAATGGATAGGAGGGATGCTCTTCATCCCTGCTGTTCTGGGTGAGCTGTTCTGGTCGGCAGCTATTCTTTCTGCACTAGGTAAAGACTTTCTCCCAATCATCATGTATATGCCTCATTGTATGTACAATATAATACAAATTTAGAACCATAGAAACGTACAGTACAGAAGACGTGTATGTGCCTCAAGGGCAATCCTTTCAGGCACAGTTGTCTGCCACTTCCCCTTACCCCGATTGCTGACTCTTTTATTCTTCTCTTATTCTATTTATTGCTCTCTTATTCTTCATCCCAAAACATATAACATCACATTTGTCCACACTAAATTTAATTTGCTGTTTCTCTGCCCAATCAACTAATCTGTCTATGTCCTCCTGAAGTTGCTTACAATCTTTTTCATTCTTAGTTAAACTCCCTATTTTTGGGTCATCTGCTTCATTTGCCCCTCATCTGTTCCACCATTCGCGGATGAGCTTTCAGCTATTCTGCCTCCGCTCTATGGAATTCTCTTCCAAAATCCCTCCACCTTACTTCCTCCCTCTTTGGTTTCAAATCCCCATCTAAAAACACTTCTCTTTGACCTTGCCATTGACCACCTCCCCACTATCATCTATACAACTCAGGCTCTGACTTTGTAAAGTGCTTTGAGACAGTCTACTAAGTGAAAGGAGCTATGCAATTGTAATTTGTGGTTGTTGTACTTGGAGTGCAGAGCTGTGGATTTTTAAGTTTAAAAATTAAAAAACTTGAATTGCACAGGAACTGGAGGAAGCCACACAGCCCATCAAGCCTATTATAGTATCAGATAATGGTAGGTCTTTTAATCCCATTCCCCTATCATTTCTCCATGTCCCTTAATTCCCTACTTCCCAAATATCTATCCAATGTTTTTCCTTTTAAACATTCCAATTGATTCTGTCTCTGGAGCCTTCTTCGATAATGCATTTCACATTTTCATAACCCTCTGTATGAAGAAATTGTTTCTGTTCTCACCTCTTTCCCAGTTTACCTCTAATTTTAAGATCACACATGTTACAAGTTTAACTGCAGTGAATCACTTCTGCATAGACATAACAAATTATAGCTTTTATTTCAATGTGAAGCAAACAAAGGTTTATATTTATTGATATGCATTAAGAGGTCAACATTAACCAGAGCAATTTTTCAGGTTCAACGTTGAGTATTATTGCGGCGATTGACGTCAAAGTCGCCGTTATCATTTCTGCTGTGATCACAGTATTTTACACACTGCTAGGTGGATTGTACTCAGTAGTATACACGGATGTGGTCCAACTATTCTTTATCTTCACAGGATTGGTAAGCTTGGCAGTTATTTGAAAGTGGACTTTTGATGTATAATTGAAATGAACCGTATTTATTATTTATAGAATCATAGAAATTTACACTGAAGGAGGCCTTTCGGCCCACAGAGTCTGCACCAGCCCTCAAAGCAAACTGTTCAAACTGTTCCACTACCAGCCCTATTCCTTTACTCCTTCAAGCCTATATTTTTCGTATACCTACACCACGGCTGCACACTCAACCTCACTAAGCCAGTCAGGAACCTGGGTGTCTTGTTTGACCCTGAACTGTCCTTTCTCCCCACATCCGCGCCATGACCGGCACTGCCTACCACCACCTCCGCAACATTGCCAGACTCCACCACTGCCTCACCCCTCAGGCTGCCGAAACCCTCACCCACGCATTCATCACCTCAAGGCTCGATTATGGAAACTCTCTCCTCATCGGCCTTCCCAACTCTTCCCTTCACAAGCTGCAGATCATCCAAAACTCTGCAGCTCGTGTACTCTCATGCACCAGGCTCCGTGACCCCATCACTCCCACCCTCGCCCGACTCCACTGGCTCCCCATTCCCCAGAGGATCGAGTTCAAGATCCTCGTCCTCACTTTCAAGGCCATTTATGGCCTTGCCCCCTCCTACCTCTCTGACCTGTGACTCCCTACCAACCTGCCCTCTCCCTCTGTTCAGCGGGCTCCAGTCTGCTCCATGTCTCCCGCCCGACCCACCCTACCATCGGTGGCCGGGCTTTCAGCCTCTCTGCCCCCACACTCTGGAACTCCATCCAACAGTTCCTTCACTCGCTTCCTCCCTTGTCTCCTTCAAGGCCAATCTCAAGACCCTCCTGTTCGATCATGCCTTCAGTCTCCCTCCCACCTCTCTGCCTTCCTTACCCCTACCCCACCCCTCCCCCATGTTCGGATCCTGACCCCTGACTGTTCAGCACGATGGGACATCCTCCCGTTGTGAAAGGCGCTCTATAAATATAATTTTGTTGTTGTTGTTCCCTCTTGAACACACAATGGACTCTGACTCTCTAACACTTAGTTGGTATGGTATTCCATAACTCTCTGCATGAACAAAATTCTCCTAAGCTCTCATGTCGCATTTATGTATCATATAAAATTCTCCTAAACTCTGAACTATATCAAATGCAAGGATTATTATTCTTATTTTGCTTTTATTTTGACAATATATATATATGTCCTCTTGTTTCTAACTCCTATATCAGTGGAAATAGTTTCTTGCTATTTATCTTGTCAAAACTCATAATTTTGTACACCCCCTGTATCAGGTCACTTCTCAACTTTTGCTGCTACATGAAAATGGACCCGACTTCTCCAGCTTCTCATCATATCTGTAGCTCCTCATATCTGTTATCATTCCCATAAATCTTCTACGCACTTCCTCCAAGTCCTTAACATCTGTCCTGAAGTGAGGTGCCCAAAACTGAACACAGTCCTCCACTTGTTGTCTGACCAATTCATTGGTGCAGAAGGGGAAGGAGATGTTAAGTAGAGTAACCAAGAAACAAGAATTAAGTGTTGAATGATTTATTCACATTTGAATATTTGACTATACAATAGATTACTAAACTGCTAAACTTAAAAAAGAAGTTGATGAATAAGACAGAAGTGCTAAAACCTAACTATGTGTGGCAAACTTTGTGTGTGCGTGTGTGTGTGTGTGCGCACATGCAATGCGTATGTGTGAGTGAGAGGGGGGGATGGGGTGTTGTATTGTCAGAGGTGCCGTCCTTCAGATGAGACGTTAACCTACCTCTTCAGGTGGATGTTAAAGATCCCATGCCACTATTTGAAAAGAGAAGGGAGTTTCTCTCAGTGTCCCACAAAATCAAAAAATAAAAATGGTCATTAATTTCACGTTTTTTTGTGGGACATTGCTAGGAGCAATTGTGCTACCTCATTTTCCTACAAAATACACAGTCACTTCATTTCCAAGTAATTCCTGTAAAGCGCTTTGAGACATCCTTCTGACGTGATAAGATACTATATTAAATGCAATGATTATTATTATTTATTATCCCAAGTAGCTGTTCCAAAGTTCCATCCTTTAATTCTACCATTGCAGTACTGCTCTCCTAAGTGAAAATTGAGGCAAAGTATTCATTAAACCACTCTGCTCCTCTACCACCAATTTTCCACTTTCAATTCTAAGTGGCCCAACCCCTTTCTGGTCTATTTTATTTATATTTACTAAAATATAATGTATTTCACATATTCTTTTTGATTGAACCAAAATTCAGGTTCCATCAGCCTCTGATTCAACTGGAGGTTAAAGGAACTCCCCTTAATTCCCCCACGCCCCTTATGTCTCGACCACCTCAAAGAATTGTGGAGCTTTTTTGGCCTATACAACCAACATTCATTTAACTTCAATTCGGTAAAGCTTTAAAACATTTACTTTTATCTGAATAGAACACTGTATGATCATAAGTTGTTGTTTCTTGGTTACATAAAGCCAGTATGGTAATATTTCAATTATCTTTTCTCAGTGGCTAAGTATACCCAATGCCATGCTTCATCCAGCAGTTACAAACATCGGCATCACTGCAAAGAAGGAGGTATACCAGGAGTCTTGGATTGGACATATAGATAAAGTAGATCTCTTCTTGTGGTTCGACAACTTCTTTTTATTGGTATGGCACATGTGGTTAATGTTTATTACTATTCATATTATAATTGTAAAATATAGACCAGCCCACGTGAAATATTGGTTGAGCACTGGACTTGCAACCAAGTTTTGGATGTGAGTTTCTGAGGGACCACTGAGCCTCTTATTCTGTCTAAAAATAACTGCCTGAGAGAAGACTCCTTGGCTTTGATCTGGCTCCAATAAGATAAGCATGAAAACCAAACATAATTCCAAGATATTTGATAATAATAATAATCCTTGCATTTGATATAGCGTTTTTCTCATCTTATCGATGTCTCATAGCGCTTCACAGAATAGACTGTAAAGTGAATTGACCGTATATTTGTGGGCGAAACGCGATATTGTTCCCCTTTAAAATCCACGGTCATCACACTTTACAATATATCCTGTACCTGAACGAGGGCTCAGCTGCTGGCAAAACAGCCATGCTGGCTCATGGAAGGACAAACTCAACTTCTGTTAACCCTGCAAGCAAAAGCCCTAATGGGTAGGATAGCCCAAGCTGGACAAGCTGGTTAGACTCCAGCAGTACCCTAAAGCACACTCTGCATCTGGGGTCCCCAAACCTTGGCTCTTTTTTGTGCAAATTATATTTTACATCCAGACAGGATGGTCATCCATCAATAATACTTTGGACTACTATAAATAATGATGATAATTCTTACATTTGATAATGTGCCTAATACTTTCCAGAATTAGGTAAGCAGCCTGCATCCCTCCAGGGAGAGAGTGTGCATTCCATTCCAACACATAGGCTCTCTTGTAACTTGATTAGTTGATGTTTGTATGTTAAACTTCACAGCAATATGTAATTAGTCATTACTAAAGACAATTGAAAATAAATAATGTGGTGCAGTTAGTAGGTGGAAATTTAAATATAAATATAAATCAGCCTACCCAGCATCATGGTTCATGTTTATCTTCTCATCTGTCCACAAAGGCCAAATTAGTTTGACACACCTTGCTTCATATCATAACTAGCAGTATTAATTTATATTTTGTGTCTCAATTTAAACCATGATGTTGGCAACACAATAATATTTACACAGTGATCTTACGGTGCAATTAATAACTCCTCTTTTTCAGATACTGGGAGGAATTCCATGGCAGGTGTACTATCAGAGAATTCTCGCAACATCCTCTGTAAGCTCTGCAAAACTCCTATCTATTGCGGCCGCCTTTGGCTGCGCGATAATGGCAATTCCATCCATACTTATCGGTGCAATAGCCGCGTCAACTGGTAATGTAATCTTTTCAGTAAACTATGATCTCTTTTTTTGGATTAGACATTAAACTGAGGTCCCATCTGCCTGTTGAGATGGATGTTAAAGATCCCATAGTACTATTCCAAAACAGAGCAGAGTTTCTCCCAGTGACTTGGCCGACAAATCCCCCAAATAAAATTGGTCACTTACTCCATGGGACATTGCTGTGCGCAATTGGCTGCCACATTTCGCATGTCAAATCACTTCACAGGAATGACACAGTGGTCTGACTGAAAAAATAATTGTGCCAAATGTTACCACAAACGTTACTTACAAAGGTGCCAAACATTTATATTTTTCCATATCCAGTATTCATCTAAAAGCAGATGAATAGTTTGAATCAAGTGTCAGCCTGGGTCATTTGGTTGTACTCTCGCCTCTGAATCAGAAGGTTGTTGATTCAAGCCACATGTTGGGACTTTGCAGTGCAGGGCTTAGGACACACTGCATTGTTGGAGATGCCATCATTTGCAGATAGGATAGAAGATGAGATGTTAAACTGAGTTACTGTCTGCCTCTTCAGGTGGATATTAAAGATCCCATTGCACTATTTAAAAAAGAAAAAGGAGTTTCTCACAGTGTCGTGGCCACCAATGCCCTAGATAAAATTGATCATTCACTTCATGACTTTAGGTCATTATGAACAAATTGGTTGCTACATTTGTAATACATACCATAGTCACTACATTTTACAGTAAATCATGTGAAGCGCTTTGAGACATCCTCCTGATGTGACAGATGCTATATCAAATGCAGATTATTTTATCTGAAGGGCAAGCATGATTTACATTCAGATGTTCTTTTTCTCCACATAGACTGGAATCAGACTTCCTATGGTTTACCAGATCCTAAGAACAGCAATCAATCTGATATGATTTTGCCAATAGTGATCCATTATCTTTGTCCGCCAACCATTTCTATTTTTGGCCTTGGAGCAGTCTCTGCTGCCGTGATGTCATCAGCGGACTCATGTATCCTATCTGCAAGTTCTATGTTTACTCGGAACGTCTACCAACTTATAATCAGGCGCCAGGTAAGACAAGGTTACAAGAGAAATATTATAGATGTAGGTGTTATTTTCAGAGGAAGTGGAAAAGGAGCAAATAAATAAATAGTCGCTGAAAAGGGAGCAGAAACTGTGATTGAATGCTAACAATGAATCCCGTCTGTACTTCACTGAGTTGAGGACAAGAGGAGAATTGAAACAGCCTCACCCCGTAAAATGAATCGTCATGTTCTAAATTCTAAGTGCAGTTGTTCACTGTTATTCTTGGGCTCAAGTATTGGAAAGGGGGTAACAATTTGCAGATGACATAGGGACCGCAACTAACTGTGAAGTATAAATAGTCACTGGATTGGGTAGATAGATAGCAAATGACATATAATGCTGAAAAGCGTGAGGCAATACAGGAAGGGAGGAAGAATAAGGAAAGACATATACAGTAAATGGTAAAAATTTAAAAAGAGTTGGAGAACAGAGAGACATAGGATTCACATACACAAGTCTGAAAAAGTGAGAGAGCCAGTGTGAAAAAAACAATCAAGCCTGTTTTCAGCAAACACTCAGCGGATTGGACCAAAGTGGTCTTTATGTAAAGGTAGCTGTTGGTGTGTGTAGAATTTCTAAGTGTATAAGTGTATGGAAAAATACATTGCACATACAAACCCATAAATCAAACTAGTTTTAATAATCAATTACAAAATACAAATCATTACTACTTTTTCCCCGGGCCCAGGTGTAGAAACCCCAAACACTGAGTAAATCGGATGAAACACCCAACCCCGATTCATTTGTATTCTTACCTGTTTAAAATATGCCTGTTAATTTGAATGAAAATCCCATTAATCCAGGCAAAATGCCGTGCTGGTTGCCGCTGGTTCTCCTTACTCTGTATCTCGAGCGGCTCCGTTCAGCCATGAGCAACTCCAGGATGGAGGATTCAGATAATAATAATAATAATAATAATAACATTAATAATAATCCTTTCATTTGATATAGCCCCTCATCACGTCGTTGAAACATCTCAAAGCGCTTCACATACTTTAACTTGGAGTGACTGCGTATTTTGTGAACGAAACGTGCAGTGTCACACAAACAGTCATGGGTTGAGTGACCATATTATTATTATTATTTTTTATAAGGGGTTATTACCCTCAGCAAAGTGATCCGCCAATTGACTAACAACCGGGTTTCTGCTTACTGCTGGGTAAACAGACACATGTGGAGTAAAGAAACTGCAGTTGCGAAACAGGAAATCAAGCAGTACCATGATTAAAGAAATATTAGATCAATTATAGGCCTAGCATCCTCTGATGCTTATCATCTTTGAACCTGAATATGTTAATGTACAGTAATTTCAGTGAGCCGAGTGCTGCAATGTAAAATCCAGCATTAGCTCCATCAACTATATTATGTGAGATTCCAAAAGTTAATTCAATTCTGTTCAGGATTTGAAATAGCTAATTCACACACAATACTACCCTGAGAGGACTTACAAACCAGAAATACTTAATATATAATAATATTAATCCTTGCATTTGATATAGCATCTTATCACATAGTTGAGGTGCCTCAAACCGTTTTACAGAATATACCATAAAGTGTAGTGACTGTTTTGTGGGTGAAGCACGGCAGCCAATTGATTTATTAAATTATTAAATACATTGTACAATACTGTCCTGACAGGCTGCCTGTCGGACATCAATTCCTGGATGAGGGCAAATTTCCTCCAGTTGAATGTGAACAAGACTGAGGCCCTCCTGATTGGCTCGCGCCAGCACCTCTGTGCCTCAGGCTCTGGCAACATCAACCTCCATGGTTGCACACTACAACTCACCAAGCCAGTCAGGACCCTAGGTGTCTTGTTCGACCCTCAACTGTCTTTTCTTCCCCACATCCAAGCCAGGACCCACTCTGCCTTCCCTCACCTCTGTAACATCGCCTGACTCCGCCACTGCAGATAATCCAGAACTCTGCAGCCCATGTCCTCTCCCGCACAAAACTCCATGACCCCATCTTCCCCATTCTCGCCCAACTCCATTGGCTCCCTATCCTTCAGAGGATCCAGTTCAAGATCCTGGTCCTCACCTACAAAGCCTTCCATGGCCTCGTCCCACCCTACCTCTGCAACCTCCTAACCCCTACCAAACCGCCCACTCCCTCCGCTCAGCCGGCTCTGGCCTGCTCCATGTGCCCCGACCCACCTGTCCCACCATTGGTAGAAGAGCCTTCAGCCACTCTGCCCCAACCTCTGGAATTCCATCCCCCAGTCACTCCGCCTCGCCCCCTTCTAAGCTTCCTTCAAGTCCTGCCTCAAAACCTTCCTCTTCGACCCTGCCATCGGTCACCCCCTGCCCTTCCCCTCCCTTCTCCCTCTCTGACCCCAGCTCGGGTCTGAAATGCTGTACACGGTCCAGCGCCTTGGGACATCCTCCCAACATGAAAGGTGCTACACAAATGTAATCTTATTGTTGTTGTACACACATAACATGAAACAGCCCAACATTTCGCCCTACCCGGGAATCAAACCCAGGTCCTCTCGCTTGTGAGGCAAGTGCTCTAACCACTGAGCAACAATTAGTAAATAAATTGATGAGTTAAGAAAGGACTTGTGCTCCGTTATATAATAATCATCTTTACAATTGAGCTACAAGTTATGGAGACAAAACAGAACGTATGACAAAATGCTTTTTTAGAAAGTTGAGAAAGTTAATAGAAGTGAATGGTCTCCTCTGTAATATAGATTTCTATGTTTACATAGATTAAAACCATTGACTTTTGTTAGTATCATTGTTTGGATTAAACCGACGTGAAAGACACTATACAAATGTAATTCTGTTGCTGTTATTATATAAGTATGTTTTAGTCAAAAGGCCGTTGAGCTACCATTATCATTCATGTGTCAGCCTGGTTCAGATGGTAGAACTCTTGCCTCTGAATCAGGAGGATGTGAGTTCAAGCCCTACTTCGGGACTTGGGAACCACATTGTCTGCGCTGACACTCCAGTGTAATGTTGAAGGAATGCTGCATTGTTGGAAATGACATTCTTTGGATGAGATGTTAAACCAAGGTCCCATCTGCCTGTTCAGGCATAAACTAACCGTAACCATGGGACTATTCAAACAGAGAAGAGAGTTTCTCCAGTGTCCTGGCCAACAATCCCCTACATTAAATTGGTTACTCACTCCATGGTTGTTCGTGGAACATTGCTATCTGCGAATTAGCTGCTGCTTTTGCCCACAAAATACACACAATTGCATCACTTTACAGTACATCTTGTGAAGCGATTTGAGACATCTCAACAATGTGATAAGATATATCAAATGCAAGTATTAAGTACTGTATTATTAAATGAGATTTATTCCTCAAATAATAATATTTGAATAACTTGAAAAAATAAACATTTCATTCATTTTATAATATTCATTTCACCACAAGTGATGGTTTTTCACAATATAACTTATTTGTTACAGGCTTCAGACAATGAAATGAAGTGGGTCATGCGAATCAGCATATGCGTATTTGGACTAATTTCAACAGTGTTGGCATTGCTGTCCAATTCTGTCTATGGTTTGTGGTATCTGAGCTCGGATTTTGTTTATGTGATTCTTTTTCCTCAGTTGGTATCAGTACTTTTTATCAAATCAAGCAATGCATACGGCTCAATTGTTGGTTTCTTTCTTGGGTTAATCCTGCGAATCAGTGGAGGCGAACCATATTTACAACTGGACCCATTTGTCTGTTATCCTGGATGTTATTTAGATGAAAGCAACCAACAATTGTATATTCAAAGGTTTCCTTTTAAAAGCATGGCAATGTTAGTTTCCCTTTTGAGCATCATTGTCATTTCCCACCTGACCAACTATCTGTTTGAACATGGAATCTTGAAACCAAAGTTTGACTTTCTAAACAGTATTGTTTCACAACAAAACAAAGAAACCGTGGACAACACAGGCATGGTGAACCAAGGCAGTTTCAATTTGTCCAAAATGGTGCAAGTGGAGTCAAAGCATAGTGGCCCTTTGATACTAACAATAAAGCATCTGAGAACATTGAGTCAACTTCTGTATCTTCTTAGGAAGATGATGATTCACTTATCCCCTTGAGATTCAATGCAATGGTAATCAAACAAGAATATTATATTAATGTAACATGAGGTGTTTCAGGGGCGTTTACCAACTGAAGGAAAGGTGTCTATGATCAGTGGTCCCTTGATGATTTTTCACTTAATACTGTTAAACAGTATTAAGTGAAAATGCATCCATGAAAAATACCAAATCAAGATGATTTTTTTAAAATTTGGGTAGGTAAAAGACTATTGCTACCCTATACAGTCAAACTGAAGATACATATCACAGTTTACCTGTACTGTCATAGAGCCTTAAAAAAGGGATATGATTGAATATCAAGGGCAATCAAATCAGCTTATTTGTGCACATTCTTCTATTCTCTTGTGTGAAATAGAAAATTATTCAATTCATTAATGAAGTGGACTTAACAAATAATTCATTGCTGCTAGATATAACTTTTTACCCTTCAATTTCAAACATATTTACATTTTTACATGCATACATATACACAAATAATGTAGTGTAGAAAATCACAGCCCTGCTGTTGTAATTGCATTAGAAATACAATTATCCATACTAATTGGGATTGGCCCCATTGCAGATAAGCAAATATTTTGATAAATGAATATCACACAAAATAGAAGCTGGTTTCAGTGCAAACAAAAAAATATTCCACCAGGCCTTATCCCACACTGTGCCACCCCTTCTTTCTCTCATTACTCTTCCTTGCCAGTATCTTTCTCTGTCTCTATTTTTCTTTTTCTCTCTCACTCTCTGAGTATCTCTAACATTCTATCTACCGCTATGTCTTTCTCTACATCTATGTATATGCCTAATAATAATCCCTCCAAAACAAAACAATAATAAATTGGTCATTTTCAATCCATGACTGTTTGTGGGACATCGCTGTGCGCAATTGGCTGCCGCGTTTGCCCACAAATATACCGTCAATTCACTTTACAGTATATTCTGTGAAGTGCTTTGGGACGTCTAGAAGACGTGAAAAGCACTATATCAAATGCAAGGATTATTATTATTATTATACGCCTATTCATTTTTTATTCCTTTAATAGATTATTGAATAAACACAAATTTCACAAATTTCTCCATGCTGAGAAATCAGAATAGCGTAATCTAGTGCACATACAAATGGATTTTTTTTCAGTATTTCACTGCCTCATGTCTATTTTAGCATTGGAGCCCAATCTAGATAAATGAACATATGGATATTTGGTGTACATATAATCAATATTTGTTTTGTACAATCGGTTGTTTGAAACATATGGAAATTAATCACCGTGCTTAAGAGTAGCTAAACCAGATTGAAATTTGCAAATGTGTATGCTACCTGCACATAGAAATTTCCTGTCTGGAATGGAATGCCACTCTGTCCCTGGGTGCCTAATTCCAGAGAGAATTAGGCACAGATAGCATACCCCAAGGTTAGGGGACCTAGAATGTGCATTGGAATATCACTGGAGTTTAACCAGCTAAATCTGTACGGCTTGCCTATGAAAACACTGTTCAGTTATGGCCACCCTATCCATTAGGGCTATGACTTGCAGTGTTAACAGAGGCCAAGAGGAATGCCTCAGAAGAATCCCTGTGACCAGGATGCCCCTCCAGGTCCTGATGAGAAGCCAGACTGGCTGTTTTGTCATCATCAGTGCCCTGGAGTAGTGCGGACCCACCTGGCTGAGGCACTGGACTACAAAGACTACCATAGAAGGTTAACTCAGTTCTAACATTCTGTTGCCAAACATGTCACCTTGGTGTTACCTCAGCTCCAAGGAGATTCCATTTACCTCCCAGATTACCCATGTTCTCCTGTAGTGAAATAATGATACTTTCAACACCCACCCCAATGAAGCTCACATATTACATACTTTATTTGAATTATATTAGAATTCAAGCCTGTTAGCTGGGGACAGCTGTTGTGAACAATGTCTTATGTATTAACTAATTTTCAAGAAGCTATAGGGAAAATTATTAATCTCACACATTTTTTCTACTATACAACCCTTTCTCACTTCAGGTATACCTAAACTGACATTCTTTACCTCTCCCAATCATTTTTTCCAAAGTTTTTCTCAGTTAGTTTGGCTTTGTATACACAGAATGCATAAAATATACAGTCACTGCATTTTACAGTAAATCCTGCAAAAAAAATTGAGATTTCCTCCTGACATGGTGAAAGACGTTACATCAAATGCAAAGGTACAGGTGCTCTTCATCCAAATTCACTCACCCATTGAACTTAACTGTCCACTAATTTTAGTGGTTGATGGGATGTTGTTGTTGCAGATTAGATGCTATATTTGCTTACAAAATATTCATTTCTAGTACATTTTATTTTGTAAAGACCTTCAAGACATTTATGTAAAAGGCACTGTATGAATACAAGTTATTATTCTATGTTCACGAAAGTTTGCACGTGTTATGTGTAGAATATATTAACCTGGTTTTGGAGTTCTTACTTAATATTTCTAATTTTTGTATCTCAGACTTTTTTACAAAGTAAAGTAGAATTGAACTGAGTAGTGTTTTATTAATAGCTTTATTCCATATTGGCAGTAAAAACATAATATTTTTTTGCTAGTGCAAAACCTGATAAAAATGTCATTAATGATTGCCAAAGTTCAGTTTTAGCTAGAAATCTTAGAAATATGTTACTTTGGCAATTTATCTGCAATGCGAAATTCAGAAATGAATCCAAGACTGTAAAATGATAAATATTCCTGAGGTCTTACATTAATCATTTAGTTATGCCATGAAAAGGCATCAGAACTTTCCAATGCAACATTTTATGAGAAGCCAAAGCCTAAAGTAATAGAGATGGAGGTCTTTCTTAAAGTAGTGCCTTTAACTAGAATGAACATCTAAAAATGCTTAACAATAGGGAACACCGAATCAAAAGACTTAACAATGCTGACTAAAAGCACGGTGGAAAATATACATTTTTAATAGGGTTTTGAAAACACAGAGAAGAAGCTTGACAAGAGGTTTTAGCAGAGAGTTCCAGAGGGCAGAGCTGTAGTAGTTGAAGGCTCCAAATGGTGGGTTGGAGTGAGTGACAAACAAGCAATAGACCAGAATTGGATGATATGGGCAGATTAGGTTTGAGATTTCAGAGGTAGTGAGGTTCAATCCTATTTTTGATTAATTCTTCAGCTCTGAAATGCTAAGAAAATAGTGAAAGGTTAGACCCAATTCGAATTTCTCCTCCTTGAAGATTCTGAGAGTTGATCCACTGGGATAATAATAATAATAATGCATTTGATATAGCATCTCAAGTGTTTTACATAGTTATCTGTAAAGTAATATTAACTGTGTATGTGTAGGTGATTCAGACGAGCCTAGCAAGGATGGTAGTGAGGAGCCTGGTGTAGGGGAGTATTATTGTAGAATACTAATGTTATTGTAGTCAGTATAGTTAGTATTAAAGGCATTGTGTATATTATATCCATGACTAAGGTTCTAAACCCTAACCTGTTGTTACCCTTCTGAGGTGCAAGTAACCAAGTTACCTTCAAGATTTCCAAGCTGGTTTAAATGTGAAGGGATGTAAGGCATTGTGAAAAAAAACTGGTTAAATTTGCAGAAGAGACATACAACCATAACATTGCCTAAATTATATTTGGAGCATCCTCACAGATTTTCACATTATTTTTCATAATCTGACAAAGAGAAATGTTAAAAAATTATTTTGACTCAAAGCATTCTAAACATATGTCAACCAATGTAGAGTGTTATAAATGATACATTTCAGATAAGTCAGACTTTGTGGATGTCTATTGTGTACATCTATAGATCTTGTCTTTATTGGTATTTTTATTTGAGGAGTCAAAGATAATTGTATAAATCAATGTGCTGGTCTGTTATTTGTGGAATAGCACAATACTCAAAATTAGCTAATGAATTTTAGGAAGCAGATGGTGAAATATATTGTTTTTTTCATTCGATGATATATTCATAAAATATCCACAACAGGCTGCTTCTTGTTCATTAAACATTCTAAAATGAATTGTGATTCTAAAATAAATATTTTAGTGCACTGCAATTCCAAGGCAGAATTCCTGGAACCAAGAAGAATGTTGTTCTTATTCAATTAAAATTCAATTTAAAATCTGTTTTGCACGGAATGATTAGCAAACTTTGGATGCAATGTGAAGTCATTGCTTTCAAGTGTGTTTAATGTGTGTCTGATTAAGGATTTTGTGTTACACTCATTCTCTGTTGAAAAAAATCATTGAAAAAATCCAAAGGAAATGCTTTCTTCGGTTGTCTTTAGCCTAGCTCTGACCTCTTTGAACTCCCTGATCTCTTTCTCAAATCCACTGAACCTCTGCACAACCTCTGCGTCCACTTTGATTCTCAGTTCTTTCCTTCCTGTTTTCCCCAGTTCCTCGATTTACAAGATGCAGCTGATACAAAACTAGATGGTACCCCATATCCTAACCTGTGTCAAGCTCCGCACTCCCATCACCCCAAACATTCCCAGGTTTCACTGCCTTTGTCTCGCCACGGATCAACTTCAAGGTTGTCATCCTCACGTAAAAGCCCTTCACACCCTAGCACCTCCCTATCTCTCTGATCTTCTCATATTCCACTCCTCTGCTCACCCTCTGCGCTCAGCTAACAAAGACCTGCTGCAGGTGCCCAACCCACTGCACCACCATCGATGGTCAAGCCTTTAATCACTATGTCTCTGATATCTATAACACCCTGCCTCTACATCTCCGCTTCATCCCCTATTCTTAAATCCAACATTAAAACCTACTTGGTCGACAGTGCCTACGGTCACTTCTCACTCCTCCCTTGCTTGATATCCGACCCTACTACTGTGAAGCACACTAAGACATTATCCATCTTGAAGGGCACTATCCAAATGTAAGTTGCTGTTGTAGTATTTGGCCAGCACAATTGCAAATTCACATTTGGTGTCTTGAAATCCCACACAAGGAACGTCCATAAAATAATAATAATCATAATAATCTTTGCATTTGTACCCTTCGCATTGTCAAGATATTTTGTGG